CCCAGATGGTAGAGAAGAGGATTCTGCCACTCTGCAGGATACGCCTGTGGCCGATCTGTCCATCGCAGAACCTTTAGGAGGTAACTCCTCTAGCCCTACAACAGAGGCTCAGTGCCTAACCTCCGAATTATTTGGTGAGGCCCAGACTCCTATGGTTCCCTCTATATGGAACTCTGCGATCCTAGACGCAATTCAGAGGGAATCTCGCAGCGGATTGGTCGAAGACATCAGGGCATTGCTGTTGGCGAAATACGAGGTTAAAAAGGACCTCCAGGACTTGACTCCTCCTAAACTCAATAAAGAGTTTCTGGCAGCGCTCACCCCCTCAGTTATCAAGCGAGACGAATATCAGGCTTTAATGCAATCTCAAGTAAGTGCCTGTCTCAACGCCTTCGGCTCAGGCATTTCTCGCTTGCTCAACCCGACAGTCTTACAGACTCTAAACGAGGAAGCAAGAGCGGCCTTATCTTCTCTTGCCGAGGGCATCCACCTGCTCGCAGACCATCAGCATCGCCTCTCTCTTGCTAGGCGAGCCTTTACAAAACCTTCTCTGAATATCGTGGGCAAGAACGCGGCTGAGGCGGCCCCTATCGATGACTTTCTGTTTGGTCACGATTTCTCTGAAACACTCAAGGCAGCTCAGACGTGTGAGAAGGCTAGCCGCGAGGTCTCGAGAACAATACCTCAGGTAGGAAAGAAAACACTTCAGCCGATTCGTCAAGCAGTCCAACCTCGAACTCAGCCTCACCCAGCCAGGTCACGCCAGCCGGAAAACAAGAGACCTCCCGTCCGTTCTGCAGCGGCTCGTCGAACGGGAGCGGCCTATCGCAACAGCCGCAATTACCGCTCCCTCTCCAGATTTCGGTCCAGATACCATCGTTAGACCAATCAGGAAGAGCAGGCAGTCTAGTAAGTTTTCTTGACCAATGGGCAGCTATCACCTCGGATCCTGTGGTACTGGAAACCATACAAGGCTATTCCATTCCCTTCTCCTCTGAGCCTCTGCCGAAACCAGTCTGCCCAGAGCCGTCACTGAGCCAGTCCGACAGCGTGTAGTGTGATAAAGAAATTAAACGTCTCCTCGACAAAGGGGCCATTGTTCAAGTCGAGCCTATTAAAGATCAGTTCTTGTCCACATTTTTTCTTATTGACAAGCCCTCCGGGGGTAAGCGTTTTATTTTAAACTTACGCAAGTTAAATGTATATATTAATCCGCCTCACTTCAAGTTAGAAGACTGGAGAACAGTCATCCGTTTAATGCTCCCCGGAACTTATATGGCTACCATCGATTTGGAAGATGCTTATTTATCTATTCCCATTTCCAGATTTCACCGTAGGTATCTTCGTTTTCAGTGGCGTCAACAAGTATTCGAATTTACTGCGCTGCCTTTTGGCCTGTCTTCGGCCCCATATATTTTCACAAAGGTCCTCAGGCCAGTTGCTGCATATCTACGTAGTAAAGGTTACCAATCCGTCATCTACTTAGATGATTTTCTCCTACTTGGATCATCGGCCATTGAATGCGGTGCAAATGTCGCAGCAACGATAAGTCTACTTCAAGCATTGGGATTCTATATTAATTTTCCCAAGTCACACTTGAAACCTTCAACTTCCTGTAAGTACCTGGGGTTCATTTTTGATTCTAGGGAGCAGTCGATTTCGATTCCTCCTCAAAGACGCAATAATCTGAGAGTCCTTACGTCTAAAATAGCCAAATTAAGACAGTGTTCTATAAGACATTTTGCGAGCTTTATAGGTTCTCTTATTTCCGTTTGTCCGGCTGTTCAATACGGCCTCTTATATACGAAATCATTGGAAAGGGAAAAATTTTTGGCTCTAGCTAGGAATAACGAGGATTTCGCGGCTGTAATGAAAATTCCGCCGCATCTTGATTCCGACTTCGAATGGTGGTTAGACATCTTCTCGGATCAGAAACAATTTAATAGGATACGAGCAGCATCATTTATTCGGGAAATTTTTTCAGACGCTTCTTTGAACGGTTGGGGCGCAGCGTGGGGGCCAAATCGTACCCACGGTTGGTGGTCGCTAGCTGAGCGTTCCCTTCATATAAACACCTTGGAACTTAAGGCAGCCTTCAATGGTCTTCGCTGTTTTGCTGCAGACCTTCGAGACTCTGACATCTTACTCCGGATTGATAATTCCACAGCCGTAGCTTATATCAACAAATATGGGTCGGTAAGATTCCCTCACCTCTCGGCCATTGCGGCCGAGATTTGGCAATGGTGTGAGAGGCGCAATAATTTCGTTTTCGCCTCCTATATCCCATCTCTGCAAAATAACATAGCAGACGCCGAGTCCAGGATCGCAGACCCCGATACGGAGTGGTCCCTCTCAGACAAGGCTTTTCGTAAGGTCTGGGAGGCATTTGGTCCTTTTGACGTAGACCTGTTCGCATCCCTTAACAACAACAAGTGTGAGGCGTATGTCTCATGGTTTCCAGACCCGGGATCTATTGCAATAGACGCATTTACCCTATCTTGGGATAATCTGAAATTTTATGCCTTCCCGCCTTTTATCCTATTGCCTCGGGTATTGAGAAAGATAGCGGACGACCAGGCGACGGGAACAGTCATAATTCCATGGTGGCCCTCGCAGCCTTGGTTTCCGTTGTTTTGTCGTCTCTCTCTGTCTGAACCACTGTTCCTCTTGCCGGATTTTTCACTGCTTTCGTCTCCTTTCAGAAACCAGCACCCGGCCTGGAGGACTCTTTCCCTGGCGGCCGCGAACTTATCAGGGAAGCCTTCAGATATCGTCTAGTTCCCTCAGACGCCATCCCAGCTTTAATCGCGTCGCTGGCAGACGCCACGATCAAGCAATATACTTACCCACTCAAGGCCTGGTGGAAATTTTGCTGTCATCGCCAATGGCCCCTCTTTTTGCCTTCTGCATCCCAAATTTTGGAATTTCTGGCTCAAGAGCTGCGCAATGTATCATCTTACTCGTCTCTAAATACTATGAGGTCAGCAGTTTCTCTGATCTCAATCAATGAGATCGGAAACGATCCTCTGGTGCGTCGCTTCTGCAGGGGAGTAGCGGCACTCAAACCTCCGCGCCCACGCTACGATTTCATATGGGATCCGGCTCCGGTGATAGCGAAGCTCGCCTCCATCTACGCATATGAGGAGGTCCCTCTCAAGCGAATCACTACTAAATTAGTGCTTCTGCTGGCTCTTGGAACTGGACAGCGGGCTCAAACCCTGGCGGCTATTAGGCTATCACAGATTTCGCTAGGGGAAAAGATTCTAATTCGCTGTCCGGATCGGACTAAAACCTCCGCCCCTGGGCGTTACCAGCCCTTCTTCAGTTTTTCACGTTTCTTAGAACATGAGAACCTCTGTATAGGACAGCTCATAGAGCACTATATAGAAAGAATCAAGACTCTACGCCCACCTTCCTGTGACTCCTTGTTCATTTCTTTATCCAAACCATATCGAGCGGTTACGGCTCAAACCCTCGGTCGATGGATAAAACAAGGTCTACAGGAATTGGGAATCAACACTGAAACCTACTCGGCACATAGCACCAGGCATGCTTCAACATCTCAGGCAGCAAAGAAAGGAGTCTCCTCGGATCTGATTAAACGAGCGGCGGGCTGGACTGGAGAATCCAGAACATTCGCCAACTTCTACAATAGGCCTATCATTAACCCCGAGGAATTTAGTAATGCAGTTCTTCTGACATAAGGTAGCCCGCAGCATCGTTATCCTACAGGGGCAGCTCCTGTCACGGGCTCTCCCTCCAGCGAAGTATGACGTGTTATATTATAAAAATAATATGTTGGGTATCATCTTCCCATCCTTTTTATAATTAAAATTCTTACTTAAGGGAAGCTATTTCAAGTCAAATATATATGCTGATAAATATTAGCTTGCGAGTCGACAAATCGCATCTTTGAACAACTACTTAGTTATTCCCATCCGGACGAGACCTTAGGG